CAAGTTTTTTGGGCTGGTTATCTTCGAGCTCAATTGCTTTACAGAGAAGGGACCTAGATGCTACAATTGCGTCATCAGAGGTTTCTGGGTGGGACATCAGAGCGTATTTTGAGGTCAAGTTTAGGGATTGGTTGCTTCTTGCCCTTTTGGCTTGGGGGTTGGCTTGGTGGTTGTCTGGTGTGATTTTGTCTGCGGAATTTAGGCTATTCTTGTTCCGTTGGGTGTAGTTCAATGGACTAGATAGGGTATACCCTTCAGAAAAGGGATTCCCGTGGGGAGTAGAAGGGATTGGGGGTCCTNTATTCTTGTTCCGTTGGGTGTAGTTCAATGGACTAGATAGGGTATACCCTTCAGAAAAGGGATTCCCGTGGGGAGTAGAAGGGATTGGGGGTCCTAGGGTGATGGTCGGGAAGATTGAGCTGGTAGGGAGCGTAGGCTCGTTGAAAATCTGCATAGGCTCGTAGGCCGTTGCTTCTATGATTTCTTGTTCCCATTCTGAGTTTGACTGTGATTGGACCGCCATGGTAGCGGCGTTGGCGGTGGAGGGGTTGGGTAAGGTCAAAAAGATAGGGGTGAAAAATTTTCACGTGATGTCTTGGGGGCTGTAATTCTTCCACCATAGGAGAAGGGCTCCTAGGAGGAGAGGGGAGTGGTTAAAATTCTAGCTGTAATCGTTTGGTGCAAAGAGATAGATGAAATTCGAAGAAAATTTTTCCCCGAAAAATGTTGTTTTTTGGGGCCGGTTCGCTTGTTTGGCCGGTTCGCAATACATGCACGTTATATCTATTAACTATATAATTTGCGTAAGATTACTAGAAAGGCTATTCTTTAAACTCATCTAGGAAACAGAATTACTATTGTAGTCTTGTGTAGTTAACTGTAAAGTATATAAAGGACGTGAAAGAGAGTTGTGTTTACAACATCTCGCATCGCGGAGAAACATCGGCTTCTCTCCCCTAAATCTTACGCGAGACTTCAAATGCACCAAAATTACTTGAAAGAAGGAAATAAAGTCATTACACGGCTTCTAACTAGTACAAAGCATTATTATATGGTAGAAAATGCAATTGTATGGCTCAGGCATAATGTTGTCGGTCTATACTCGGCAGATTCGGCGCGGGGAAAGGAAATTACCGATTGTCAACACTACTTTTATTTACGTGCGCGTGGAAAAAATCTCTTTCCCTCTCTGCAGCACCACCAACCGTCAAAATATTGGGAATCGAATTTCTCCTAGAAACAATAAGCGAAAATGGCTGCTATCGATACCACCAGGACGTTGTCATTTGATCGCAGAAATGACATTAGTGACATTTATGTCGCTATCCCGAACATTGATGAAGCAGGCCGAAAGGCCGCCTTTGAGGGGAAATTTAGTGAGAGTTTTGACGGCGCTGCTTGAAAGGCACTGCTTAGGAAATATGTGGTAAGTCCCAAGTCCCATTTCTAGAAAGAAATGAGAATAATCATTGACATAAGCATAGAATCACTGGTATGAGATGGACAGTCGGTACACCGACCGTAAGGATGTCGTCCTGGCCCGCCGACGTCTATGGCCCAGGCTATTAGGCCTGGCGATGAGCGTCGCGTGATCATGGATGCCATCTACCCTGGCCACGATGTCTCGAAGGCGGAGGCGAAGAAGATTTCGGGTCGGTACCAGGAGTTGTGGGGAACGGAGGAGTATACCGACGAAGAGTGTGCGTTCCTGGCTGCGTACGAGATGGATCAATTTGATCATCTCAAGCGTGGCTGGCTTTATCGCCACATGATGAATGCTTTGGAGAAGTACTTCTTGGAGAAATAGGTAAGAATGCCCCTATCAATGCATGAAATTTTGTAATTACTAACTTCTGACTTCATTTTAGGGGCGAAATTGTCTTTGGGTGGTTATTTTCCTCCCCTCTGCTCGTTTTGTCTTTTGGCAGATGGAAGTGCCATGGGCTTTCGTTGGTGGGATGTGTGTTTGGGGATGGGGACATAGGGGCTGGGGGTGCCCATCAGCCCGTTTTGTCGTGTTTTCATTTGTTTTTCTTTATTTCTTCTGTTGTGTCGTTTTTTTGGTCGTTATTTCGGGGGTGCGTTGGAGGGACCCGTAATGGATGTGGCGCGGAGAATTGGGCGATTTATGGGAGGTCTGGATTCAATTCATTCAGTTTTCAACGAGCTTCGGCTCCAAAAAAAGGACTTCAAACCTCTGTGATGCTCATCTCATATCAAGAAACCCCAGACCGCGGAAACGCATCTTTTTTCTACTATGTAAGGCATAAATTTGAGCGCGTCAGCTAGGTACGGTGGGTTTGGAATATGCTCAATTTTCATTCGCTGTGAGAACATGGAAAATGGCATACAGACTAACTACATCTCGGGTTACCCCATCAGTACCAATATTCAGCCATCCGCAGGAGATATTCCAAAAGGATACTCACGTCTTCATGTACAGATCGATTCTATTTGCCGTGATAGAATTGACTGATGATAGATGGATTACAGTTTGACGCAGTTGATTCTCCCACCCAAATATCGCAGGCAGTATGTAGTTCGTTCCTTTTTCTTGAACAACCGTCTGACTCGCCATAACCCATTTCAATTGATCGCACGCGTCAAAGTCTGGTTCGTAGTCAGGCTCAAGTTCGTAGGCCTGAAAACTATCAGGATGCTTAAGATATTCCGCCTCGTCTCTCTCCACCTCCTCTCTCTCCACCTCCTCTCTCTCCACCTCCTCTCTCTCCACCTCAGCCTTCCTTGGAATATGCTAGTGCCAGACAGAGAAGCTGAGAGTGCTCGTGTCGTGACACTTTGGCTCACAAGCCAAAGCAACACCCTTTCGCAGCTCCTCCACAAGCTCTTTTTTCCATCCTGATTGTCCTTTGGTATTTCGGTAGGCATTGTGCTCCCAACGGGTTGCGCTTGGTTTGTTGTGCTTGCTTTTTCACTTTTGGAACGACCGCCTGAAACGATTGGCATGTTAGCGTTGTATATGAATGTCAGAAGTTCCGAGAATGAGATTGTAATGCAGCCGGGTGTAGGTAGGGATGTGAAGAGAGTTGGTTTCAGCAGAAGAAGAGTAGGATTTGGAAGAAAGTGGTAAGCGCACGGGTGACATGTATCTTTGAAAACCATGACAGCCCTCTACCATTGCTCTCTACGTCATCTGCAGTCGATGGTCAAGGAGAGAAGTATTCAACGTACGTTGATGCAACGATCATGGCGTGCTGTCGAGCCATTTATCGAGCTCTTTCGAGAACCCATTTCTAATGTTAGCAATCACTAATGGGTAGAGGTGAAAGCTGCAACTTACATTAGGATAGGCTTTTTGCAAGCTTATCTCATTGCTCTCCATTTCCTCATCTCGTATTCTGGGGGGTTTCATCGCTTTTTATTTCCTGACTGCACTGCGGGTACAAATGTAGTGTCAGTACACGGTCGAGCTCCGGAGAAACCCGGGGGAGAAGTGCTCATGGGTTGAATAGAAATTTTTCCTGTTGGTGGGGGGTTAAGGTTGGAGAAGTTGAAGATTGAATAGTCCGCCACGGTGGACATGAGGGATTTTTTTGAGTGGCTGGGACTGATGGCAAGAGCCATCTAAAAGTGGCAATGTCTTTGCAGCTGATATCTTTCACAAACTAATTTCAAGGTTCATTACATCAACTCGTTGACCTGGAGGTTTATGGAAGCCTGGGGCCCATCAATACCATGAAAGTGGCAAGGCTGCCAAGTTCACCGAGCACAGAAGCATTGCGAACCAAGTACCTGGACTCCTCCAACCATAGAGGCCTTCAACAAACGATTATTTCTTCATGCATTCACATAATTGATAAGTGTTGTATCATAACGTACAAGTATTTCTACAGAAATAGTTCCAAAAGGAGGTTGTTCTCGCCGACCGGCAAAACGTCGGAGTGCCTCCCCCCTGAAGGCTGCAGATGTTTAGCGAACGACCCACAAAAACACCAAACCACATCAAAGAACGAGAATTCACAGTCTTAGAGTAGCAACGCATTTTTTCACCGCAGCCTCGATGAATTGGAGTCTTTGTGGTGTTGCTCGCTGCTTTTGGCCAAGAAGTCGCCGACCGCCGGAAACTCGGAAATTCGGTACTTGGGTATGGGTGCCTTGGCTCCCTACCGTCGCTCCATCCCTGACTCGACCAGGCTGGTACAGCGACTTCCTCGACCCATCTTCATCTTTCGATCTTCTCTGTCTGCATGGTCTTTAATAATGTCTATCATCTCATCATTGAACTTCCACAATATCCTCCTCAACACCACGCAAAGGCACGATACCCTCAGAACTTTCTTGACACGTCTCCCATGTTGGTGTGGGAATTTTTTTCAAGTCACTCCGTCACGTCTTGATGAACCAGTCCTTTCCTATACACCAGCACCTTTGCTAGTGGCTTTGAACATCAAGGGCCATGCCAAGATAGATGCAAGCAGAGAGAAAGAAGCTATGTGCGGCTATGAGACGCCAGAGCCGATCCCTAATTCGAAGGTCAGTCAGAATTGTTCACGATCAAGCTTCCATCAGAGACTAACAGGTCTAAACAGAAGTCCAAGACTATGGGCAGCGAAGACTTTCCCTACGAACAAGTCAAAAAGAATCTATCCCTCAGATCTTCGCACTAGGTCGTCCTGGGGTCAAATCACAGCACTTCAAACCTCAAGCCAAACGACTCTGCATTTCGCCCGACAAACGATTGAGTGCATCAGAGAGCGACAGCTACCAATCGCACCTGTGGAGACCCACGAGCTCTTGGTACCGCATGGAAACCTCAGATCTGACAATTTACAGCGAGAAAAATATTGAACGAGGATGGAGGAACCTCAACCCCTGGGAGAAGGGGGAGCTAGATCTCAATGTTGATATGTTGCCCACCCGAGAGCAGATTTTGAAGATCAAGGAGATGCTTGAGGTTAAGAACAAGAAGAAGGGAGACATGGTTTGTGGCGTCCGAGTAACCATCGCAAGTTATCCTGCCCCTCGATCTGTTATAATATTCTAACCAACTGCCAGTTTTGAAAATTGAGGTACAATGAGACCTCATTGTAGATTACCCCTTCAAGAACGAGCACTCTCATCGTGCATACCTTTCTTGAAAAGAACTGCGTGGTCCTGTTGGCGGTCGAAGCTTCCCTTACGGCACCCGTCAAAATTCTTCTCCTAGCCAACGACCCCGTCCTGCAGAAGCACCAAGTCAACAAGCGAATTATCAGAGTGGCTATCTGATCCCAATGCCTTCTCAAATAGCTCAGCAGTAGAATTGGCTTGGATGACGTGTGGCAACTTCTGGCTCGCCAAACGGTCTCTCTACTATGAAGCATGAGGACCCAAGATAGAGTGCAGAAGATGGCAGAAATCCAACTTTGCCAATATTGCGAGAAATATCATTCCTTTTACGATTTGCGATTTGCGATTTAGTCGATTCGGACCTAAGCGTACGTTCAGGATGCCTTAAGTGTACAATCAGAATGCCTCACTCACCACGGGGCTCTATCCCTGCTGCCTTCACAGTGCAGAGAAATACCCACGAGAGTTTCAAGACACAAGAGCGGGTTTTTTTGGTTGTATACTTCGACGCCGATGACAGGACCTCCAACACCACATACACCACCGCTGCTTCGCAGATCCACCGTCTTTGGCCCAATGATACCCAGCATACATCTTGAAATCTACAATGGAATTTGAAAAGATTCGTTCACCGATCTTGCCTTCATTTACAGGAGCACTTTCCTAGGCACTCTTCCAGCCAAGGTCAAACACTTCCAAGAGGATATCGATGGGTTGTTTCCAATCATCTACGATACAAAATACCTCGCGGCAAAATTGATGCTTTCATGTTTGATGAACCATTCTAAATCTATGACGGAGGTGAGTCTGTTAGCGAGGTTCAATCACATATCTTGAAACAGGTGTGAAGTATACATTTTCTGGGGGAGACAATGGGTATAATACGCCACAATATTGTCAGGAACTATGTATAGAAATTTTGAGCACAGATATTCCAGGCTTCAAGTTATGCTCCAGTGTTCTCTCTATGCTGTTGCGATATCTGTAGCTAGAAATGTGTGGGCTGGAAGTGGGCTCGGACACTTCAAATCAATTTGGGCACCTTAATGCTAAAGAGCTGAGAACCGCGAGAGCAGCAGCCTGGGAATCGAACTACATATCGGACGAAGAGGGGTTTGAGAAATTCATCAAGTCGACTAAAACGGAAACTGCCCAGGCTTCTGAGGTCACAGTAGAGTCTTTGCAAACGAAGATCCAGATGCTGGAAAAGGCGTTAGTACTCCAAACGATTGAAACGTATCAAGCCAGGAAAATCGGACTGAAGATCGGACAAGAAGCAACCCAAGTCCTGAGCACAGTAGGCATACTACCAAGTGGACCTGAAGATGTCCGTCTCAAAAACCTCACACCAAGCTACATTTTACATAGACGGACGACTACCGGCCGACATATCGAAAACCTGAAGAACCTGGTACCGGAAAGTGCAAAGCCTTGGTATGACACGGTAAAGGCCGCACGCGGAAGAGAGCAGGTACACGATATGTTAGTTCAGCAATTACATGGCCACGAGGAGTTGTTTGAGGGAGCACGAAGGACGGTAGATATGGAGGTACAGAAGCTTGCGGAGAAGCTTGAGAAGACAAATATGGTTACAGGATAAGGCTATGGGATGGGACACTTTTGCTTTTGCTTTGGTTGTAATTATAACACTGGACCGGTATGCCGGAATACCGGAACGCCTCGGGACGAGGCAGGCTTTCGAAGGGGGGCTGGATAGGTGGACCGTGTTCCTCTTAGTGCCGTACCCAATTCCCGCGGAATTGCAGTGGTATTTACAGGCACGGGAAGATTTCGGTGAAGTCACTTTGCCATGGTAGTAAGACCCAGATGGAATAGTGGTTAGTAAGACCTCCACACTCGCTCTTTACTCATGTTGTTCAAATCTTGCTAACGGGGTTGTCTTGTGCAGGTCGAATTTTGAAACATCTACCTACAACCAGTATCGTCGACGAGGTATGGGAATACCGTTACATAGGAACGCCAGTATCTGTTTCCCTGACTTTCTCCTCGATAGGCGTTGGTGGTGGTGTGTTTTTCGTTTTTCTACTTGGCTGCCAGTAGCGTCTGGCAAGGGGACGTTTGGTGGACTTGGTGTGGACCCTGCAAACCTTTTTTTCTTTTTCCGTTTACAACTCTATGAGCTACAATGAAAATCTCGGCTCCGAGCTTCGGCTCAAAAACCTATACTCCCCATGCGTGTGATATCACAGTTTCTTGAGACTTACGAGGAGAACAGTTAGTAGTTGCTCAAGAGTCTCCCATGAGGTTGTTGGACTGATGCCGGCCAACATGTCTAGGGTGGCTTCAAAAAGGATTGGCTACAAGTAGATGAAACAACAGTAATCAAAATTGCCAAGATTCACCTCAGTTACGGACCGCTCACCAGGCACCTCCTCCAAAACGATACATGGATATATTGGTAAGACTTTAATCTATCAAACTTCAACTTCACAAAACACATACACTGTGCACCTGGCTACCTGCTTCTGACTGACCAAATTATGCTTACCCGAGTGTAGCGTATGTATGCATACTTCACTCTCGGCATTGCCAACCTTCTCTCTGTGGTATCTTACTCACAAGTTCTCCCGGAACCAGTTGGGAACTCTATTCTTTCGTCCCACTTGAGTGAGGAGATATCTGATACAGTATAACAGTCGCTATGCCAGAGTTAGTACACATGATGACAACTTCGAATTGGGAATTCGAGTGAAGCTTAGAAACATTCGCGGGCCTTTGATATGGGGTGAAGTACTTACTGGGTGGCTATATTATTCACACGCCAGAACACAGACAAGTTTGACAAGATACAAGATGGCGATGGATTGCCAGATGGTGGAACCGAAAACTTCTTTAGAAGTATCGCAACAGATACGGATGGTTAACCGAGTGCTCCTGTACCGAGAATCATCAGCTACCCAATGCCATCTTTTCCAGTCTGCAGGTCTGTCCCGTATTCGTCTCTAGCACCACCCCCACTAACCCTTCCACTTTTTGCCGTCCTCTGTAGCTTCGACCCTATACCTCCCGTGTACAGTGGCATTTTGGCAAGAGGCACCGAATATGCGACAGGAATCAATGCTCCGAGGAACATGCTGGTCAAATATCCTTTCTCCTTCAAACTATCATGGAGAACTTCCTGATGATCGATTTACGTTTGCCAGTCCGATCGTCAGCACTTTCAGTACTGCCATAAATTAGACTTTTTATTGACGACTAGACAAAATATTTCCAGTGTTGTGGAGCATCATAGGAGATAGTGAGAAGTTCTTATATTATAGAAATCATTTTCATACAAAATGGACATACTGCTTTGATCACTTCCGTACTTCTCTTCTAGCACAACAGGGTATGAGGTGAGAAATCCTCATGACAAAATAAGCTTGAACATAGGGGACGAGTTGTCCAGAGTCTGTACGTAAAAGTGGTGTTCACGAGAGCACTCGGAAAGTCTCCTTGCTCAATATCATATGTGTACTTATACATTGAAGGTTTCAGGAAGTATGATCACTTTATCACTTTGACATGTCCACCAAAGGGCAAAAGGCCACAAGCAGCTTGTGGTCGAGCAAGGAGCGGACACCGTTGCAAACAGGAGACAGCGGGTTTCCTCAGTGATACGAGACCAAATTCATAATCCTCAGAGGTCACACAAGAAAAGACTTTGGTAACACAGATAAAGCATCTGCAAAGCTGCGAATGAAAGTTGTGCAAGTCTTGGTTTCGTTCCTCACGCCGCAAAAGTCTTAGTGTCCGCCAAAGTGTACAATCCAATTGTTCCTCTCCGAGTCGCCTAAATTATGGCGAGTTTGTCTATGAAGACACATTTCCGACACCACATATTTCGTTATGTACACCAAGCATGGGGCTGAACCCAACTATCTTGGCACAAAGGACAGCGTGGTAGCATTAAATAGATATTCACTGGCTATTCGAGTATGGAGAGTTGTTAAACTGTATTGGTGGCATTCGAAGATTGGGTGCGAAGCTCTGCACCGGATGTCGTCGAGGTTGATTAGCAGTGGTTTATTGTGAATGAGGGAGTGCTTACTAAGCAACTCGGTGGGATAAATATCCCACATACGAGTATACTCCTCCATCAACAACACCACAATTATCGTTTCTCATCGCACGATTATTGGCTCTTTTGACCCGCCCACATACCCCTCGAGATAGTCTCGCCTTTAGTTAGTTATGCACCTTCACAGGTAGCGAGTCCTAGGATGCTAATACTTCTTCATGATACACTAAATGGAGCCTTCTGATTGGTCCATAATGTGTGAGAAGTCCAAGCATTTGAAGCCAGCCAGCAATATAAGAATTCAACAATAAGCCTCCTTTTGTAACGTGACGAATGGAGGATAAAATGGGGGTAAACTGGAACTGAAATGTCTCACCACCTAATTTGCTGCCAGGAATATGTAGTATAGACGTGCGACTTGACGTTTCAACGAGGGCTCGGAAGGTGGATCTATGGTTGAACTACCTAGATCATGTTGCTACATGCTTCGAGAAATTCCTCTGCGATAACAAGTGTGCATTGCGTCTTTTGCTTGGTGTCGGCCGGGTGTTTGTTTGGTGCCGAGTACTTATATCCTAGGCAGGAAGCTGTTAGAGCTGTGCATATTCCGATTGGGGAATGCGCCGGTTTATATCAAGGAGTCTTGGACTAACCTGGTGAGATGCAGTTTGTTCGGATGTTGTATTTGGTCCACTCTGCAGCAAGATACTTGCCAGATTGGACAACATCTACGACAACACAAGCCCAATCACAGCCACTTTTGTGAACGCGAAGTATTTCTCGAAAGGAAGAATATGTCCTATACCTGGAAGAAATCTAGAACAGAGCACACAGCTGATATTAAGTAGCCCGGTGTAAGGAATTGGTAGTGGAAGACTTTAATTGCTAGGTCCTTGGAGAAGATATAGCTGGATCGCCCCTGAGAGCCGTTTGCCAGATTTCCTTCCTTTACAAGAGGGAGATGGCATAAATCTTGTTACCGTCGTATCCGTCAACACCCCAGACCTGGCGCAGCCGAGAAATAAAAATTACAGGAGCACTGTGTACCTTATAGATACAAGGTCGCGAATTGGCGTCGAAGAGAAAGGGAAGCATTCATGTGCTGTATTCTGCGTGACCAGGTCCATCTGCGACTCGTCTGAAATTCTGTCAAAGAGATACCTGGTACGAGGATACACGTTGAAAACTCACTTTCATCATCTACAATACCAAATGTATACATGAGTCGATGCTAACAGCATGACAGGACACAAGTGGATAGTTGAATGTCTTGAGGCGTTACCTAGCACTACCATTCACATAAATAGTAACATCTACAGTTCGGATATTTACATCTACAGTTCCGATATTTGCAAGTTTTGCGTAGCTTCTCTTTCGACTGCATTGGATGTAGCTATTTAAAGTCAGGAACAAGTTTTAATCGGACCACCCATTTTGAGTTGAGCTTCGCATTTGACTGTATCCAGCTGACGATTAACTTTCTTGATATCTACACAAACTCCCTTTTCCTACACGCATGTCCCATGAGATGTAGCCACCTTTGTGGTTTGCATCTTCTGGAAATCTCTCCTGTCAAACCTGCCTCTACACAGTCAACAGCTTCGACATAGAATTCCGAAAGCTAGACACATATGCGTACTTTGTAAACCCACCCTGTTCAGACGTGGAGTTTCCAACACCAGACCTTTTAATTCTACACCCCTTTCAATACAGGAGGTGACCTAACTGGTCGGTTGTTGGCGATTGAAATGGTGGCGTTGAAGGATTGCCCCAAGAATGCGTATCAAACCATGATGAAGTTGAGTCTGTCTTTTGATACGACTTCTTGCGGCAGGTAATTATGGTAAGAGAGCTTGCTTTGTAGAATGATCCTGCGAAGATATAACTCTGTCTTCTGGTCCCTTCTACTAAACCCCGAGAAGGATGAAATAGGCTATGCTTTGTGATGCCGCCATCGCCTCAGCAATCCTCAGTGGCCTAGATCCAGAGGCCGGCACAATTGCTGGAGCCCCAGAAACCATGGTCTGTAACTTGATTATACGTGCGGCGACTGAGATTGCAATTTGCGATCACAATCTAAATCTATGTATGTTTTAAATGCGATTCCAGCTTGATGAAGGCATGGATGTTGCTCCTCTCTGGACCTTCATATCACACCACAGCATCACTGCAAGCATAATAGCAATCCCGCCCGCCAAAGACGAGACCAAGCCCGAAGTTATCGAGGGTACCACGATGAAAGTGGATTTCGCGAACCAGTTCTTCAACTCGCCCTTGCTCTTAATATCCTTGATATGCCTGCGATACATCGACTCCGAGCTGTTGTGTGACATGAGGATTACGTTGTACTTTTCAAGCTCTGCTTTAGTGATTGATTTGGTGTTTATTCTTAGTGCCGTGGTAAACAAATATTTTCAAGGTTCCATCTGTGTCGTTCCATTTCTAGTCTTGACGAGTCTTTACTGTCGTATAAGGGTTGTGTCCTAGTATGTTGGTTTGAAGAGAAAGAGGATGGTGAGGAGGTATACGGACTAAATCCCGACCTTGGAATTCGTAATCCTCTAGCCACTGCTTGCTCTTCAGGAATGATCAAGTATGAGGACATTTGAATTTGTCAGTGGAGCTGGTATATATCCCCTCATGTGCCGCGATATAGAACGGTATACAATGGCGAACATAACATTGGAGCACCTTGACTTTGGAGAGCCTGGTGGGATTGGATAAGATGACATTAGAGAGTACTTCGTCCACCTTCGATCTCCACGATTGGGCGCTCAAGTCCCTCCTAGTCGATCTGTTCGGCTTCCTGGGAATCGGCATCTATCTTCTCCTTCGATTTCTCAGCGACATACTGGTCTTCGAAACAATCTTCTGAAACAAGTCCAACAGGCTCATCGTCTCTTGGTGTATCTTTCTTTCGCATCGGCTGTCTCAAACAATTTTGCTCCTGACAATACCCCAGCGACCACCAGAACTGGTAGTACGAACGACCGTTGCAATTCATAACTTGGTGAAGGCAGTCTGAAAGCTTCGCACTCCGGCAAAGCATGAGCCATAGATGAGAAGTTTCATTCCTGTCCAAGTGGAATGGTGCTGTCATCCTCAGAATCGCTCACACCTGGTCGATGAAAATGAGAATCGTTATCTTTGCCAGAAAGCAGGCTCGCCCTTGGCTTAATAGTGTTTGCAAACCGGGATATTCTGGTTTCGATATGACACAACGCAGCCTTCTCTTCGAGTGGTAGTACCTCTTGTGCCATCCACCTCTGCTGGTGAGCAGAACCCAACAGAGAAAGAATGCGAGAATGGAGTTTCGTTCATATCTAGCGTACTATCCACTTTCTCGAAGGACGTTCAGATTCCTTTGATTACAGCTATATTCACCACGCGGTATCCACCCAGCACTTTCTGTTTCATCTTTCCGCAACTTCTCATCTCCGCAAAAGCTCAATGTTATCATCGCTGAGTCTGTGACGATGTCGCTATCGTTCGAGATTTGGTTGCTACATGGATCAGAGACTCGTTCGCATTTCGGAATCTAGCGGTATTGGACTTTATTTGAGAATCAGGGGCTAATAGCAACAAGACCCTCGAGTCTAGGCTTTTGTAAGGTGTTCTAGTCTTTTAGTCCTTAGTTTTGGTGGCAGAACAGTTGACACGCTCGTAAGTCCTTTTCATGAGTGAATTGACCGAATTCAGCTTCGTCTTTGAGCTCGTGCAAAACGCAGGACCGATGAAAACCAACACTTCCGCCAAAGTCTTTTGTATACTGTCTCATCGTCATACGGCGCGAACCACGAGCACATGAGCATTCGATCGTTTCTTTAGGCAGAGTAAGGCTTCATTCTCTATCAAATTATGTCAAAGTGTTTATGCTCCAATTCTGAATCTATGATAGGAATCTCTTCCACCCCACGAAAGATCGCAGTGCCAAGTGTCTCCGCCATCAAATCGCTTCCACGTCCCCAGACCTCCCCCATGATTTGAGTGACCAGACACCTCATATGGGGTGGAGTTCTAGGAACGCGAAGTATTGTATCTTCGTCGTCGCGTAATTCCGCCGAGATTTCGATGTTTCAATTGAACCTTGAGCGGTTTCGGAAGGTCTCGTGTCTGCCCCAGATTTGAAGCTTGCCGACCATGAACGGTTTGTCGACAAGCCTCTTGGGGGGTCACTGAGACCGTGCAACATAAGTAGTTCTCGTCCATGACCATGCTCTTACTCCCCATCATCATGGTAACCCATGAGTGACTTTTCAAAGTACCCTACTGTGAGCACTTCGTTGAACTTAGGCGCAGAATTTTCTGAAGTCCCTTGGTTAAGAGAATCATTATCTTCACTAAAGGCCTTGCCAGCGACACACTCCAGTCTCTTGATTGCTTTCAGGACGGTCGGAGGAGCATCAGAAAAAGAATCGGTGGTTCTCTGGCGAACACCATATTTATATGGCGCTCCCTATGCTGATGTTAGAAGATCGTTTACACTATCAAGGCTGTGATAAACTTATATGATTTGCGCCTATGTAGTTCTCATCCATGACTACGTTGTAGGGGGAATGACACGCCTCGGTTTGCCTCAGCAACCGAGATTGAGTGTCGGTTACTTGTCTTTGGTTTTCCATGCTGCAAACAATGTGGCTATTTTGACGTGGATCCGAAGCCATGGCAGGTGGGTGAAGAGGCGCAAAATTGCCAAAAAGGCGCTTGTTTACCAGCATGCATCCGTTGTGTGCATACAGATTCCAGGAGTTCATGTGTCTCGTGTGGACTTTCCGGGTCGATGTTCAGGGTTTCCGTGACACAACCAAGGAATAGGCGGTATGCAAGTCATTGAAGACCGGAGGTCTATTTGTCTCAGTCGCCGGGCGCGCAAAGAATTCAAATATAACTTACCAGCTATGACTATAACAGCCATTTTGTTCTCCTTGAACGCCATCTAACATTTGGCAAAATTATTATCCGCCTTTTGATCGCTTGTCTGGAGCATTTGGTAACCAACCTTTGACCTACCACCACCTCTAAATGCAGTTAGAGAACATAAGCATCAAAACAACAAGAAGATCTTACCATGTAGTGATGATAATGTCTTGATCAAAATGCTCTGTAGTTCTGAAAACTGTCGGGATCCTCAAGATATTGGGCCTCATCTCTCTCTACCTCGGCCTTACGCTCAAAAGCTAAAGCAACGTCCTCCTTTAACTCCTCTATACGCTCCTTTTGCTATCCTGATTGTCCTTCTGTACTTGTATAGATATTACGATCTTGAACAGATTGTGCGTATACAAAGCGAGCGAAATCGGCGTTGGTAACTATAGCGGAAGGAAGTAGTTCGTTAATTATGTTTTGAGGGGCGGCTAGGAAGCTGGGATTGTATTGCGAAATCTCATTTTGTGGATTCTCTGAGAGATCGTAGGATAGGTCAACATCAGTATCAATATCCATAGCCTCTTTTTGTTGAATATCCAATGATTCTTGATCGATATCCATCGAGTTCTCTGTAGTTCTCATCCATGACCATGTCATTGGTGTATGACACGCATTCCGTTGTCTCCTTCTTGTCCTCAGACGCGATGGTATTCTACACGGCTCAATGCACGAATCGTGCATCTCGGTTTGGCTGAAGCCGTTTGAAACAAGACAAAAACAACTTCTTGTGCGCCATTCAGACCGAATCCACCCGCAAGCATACCGAGTATGCAAGCGTGAGAGTCCAGCTGAACGCAACTATCAGGAAGTCAATGTACGGTTTGCTGTCATTCCGGTTCAAGGTAGATCGTCATGATTTTTCCAGGATGCCATCCACGGTCATGAACTTCAGAGAAGTCCGACATCCCTAGTATGTGCCGACACATTAGCTTCTGCGATTCATGGCTTACACTTGGGGATTGAAGAGATTTGTGGGGTGGATACTTACTGGTTTGGGGGGAGAACCTCGCCCCCCTAGTTTAACGTCGTTGCGGACGGATAGTCGTTTTCATTTTCATCACTTTCAGTTGCAGGCATGGTTGGAAAGATTGAAAAGAATTGATCAATACATCAAAATTTACAAGAATACATACAAAACACAACAACAACCTTTGACCACCTCTCATCCATGGCATCCACATCGGGTGTATCCACAACACACAAAAGTGTATGTGGCTTTTCCTAGTAATATTTCTCTCATCCAAAAGGATTTTCGACTTCTCCGAGAGCTTGTCGCTCCCGGCGGTCTTGGGATGAACGCCCCCCCCCCTTAGGGGGCTTGTATGATGTTTTCTTCAACACTGTTACCAGGAACGGCTCTCCCTGCAATCATAGCAGTGGAGTTCGGCGCAACCCCACATACCAGACTGCCCAATTCGAAAATGCCAATGGCAATCAGGTAAACCCATTTTATTGCGCCATACATAGCTCCGATTCCTCCAGTATACAGAGGTCTCTTGGCCAGAGAAACTGAACACTGCACACAGATATTCCAGTGTTCTCGCGATGCTTTTACGACATCTGTAACCCTTCCGCAAGCACCCCCTTGGTTCCAGGTCTGAGCTCCCAAGGATTGCGATCGGAACATGGGTGCCATTCGGCGATGGCAAGTTGTTTGGTGCGCAATGTATTGTCTCTTGGAGATAATCTTGGATTCGCCGTCCAGTCTTCGATTGTGGAAGTCCAGATAGGTTGAGAGGAATCTTCCCCACCCAAGTCAGGGACCTGCTTCCGCTTGCTAGCGAGAGAATACTGGCTGTTGACCAGAACAGCGTCTTGCCATTCTGGGAGACCGCTGAGAATTGAAAGATCGATCTGCTATATTACATGCGTCAGCTCTTTGCAATTAGGAAATGTGAAATCCACTAAGAGATTGGAGAAAGCCACCTCTTCCAGTCTCCACAAAGGAAGACTCATCCTTCTTTCCGCTCCTCTTCCTGGTTCTCTCAACATTTTGGCTGTAGTGTTCTTGTCCCGTGTGTTTGGCGAAGGGTATTGTCACGACACGGTCAAGGTCATCTTATAAGACTCTCAAGGTCATCTTATAAGACTCCCTGCTCGCCCCTTAGCTAGTTTCTCTCTGTATTTCAGCTTATCCATTCCACATTGTTCCCTCGTCATCTGACAGGTATAGAGGACGTGCCAACTGTGCTAGCATGGGAAGTAAACCTGGAACTCTGCTTGGTGATGCCGAAGATACTACTGGTTGTGCGGCTTGTGTGGATTGCGAAGCTTGTGGTGGAACTCTTTGCTGCCTCTGCAACCATGATGACTCGGTCTTAGCCGAGACTCCTATCTCTGCTGCCCGACCCCCTTTCTCGGTTGCCTAGGTGGATGCCTAGTACTCTAGGGCCTTCCACTCGGTCAGGGTCGTCTTGTAAAGACTCTCCACTTCAACCATATCTCGCAATACAGGCGTGTTTGTGGTACGGCGCCCTCTTCCAGTTTTGCTTGGTCCAGCAGAGGATGTTTCTTCTTGTGGTAGAGCAGGTGGTGTTGCTACCGCACTGGTCAACGGGGTAGAATAACCGCTGCTGTCATTTTAGTTTCGGGACACAGAGATTTCCCCACATCCAGGACATCTCTGTACACATCCCGGATGAAATTGTTGAGCTAAGTCTGCCGGATTTGCATTGATGGGAATTCCGCCACGAGAATTAGTGATGGATTGGGAGGAAAAATGCGTAATCGCATTGGTAAGCGAACACACCAGTACTACCACGGAGAAGAAGGATGGAGGCAGAGGATCTATCCTCGTCTACCTCGTGTTGAATTATGGTCATAACCACGTTGTTTGACTCAAGAAATGATGTAACGAAACCTTGGAGAGCCCAAGAGCGTCGCCCTGTATCATGGGTATAACCGGCGTCGTTTGACTCGGTAAATGGTATGACGAAATCCTGGAGAACTTAAGAGACGAGCGTCGTTTTGTGTAAGTGTGATTGGTGCTGTTGGCAAACTCTGCTAGCAGCCTCCATTCGACTAAACATTGCTGTCTGGCAAGTACGGAGGGCCCTGCAGAATGAAAGTCAGTAACGATGTTCGAGAGGGGTTTGGAGGAAAGGAAAGATGGTTGGATTCTAAAGGAGAAGATCGGGGCCTGAAGGATGAGGGGTGTTTTGGAATGGTGTATAGAATGTTGTATAAGAAAGTTATAGAATGGCACTGCTACTTAAATGGTGGGTTTCAATCGTTATATACTTTGAAATTCCGAGAAAAGCTTCAGCATCGACACGTCGTGGAGGCTGTATGAAAGAAAAATAGTGTACGGGTTCTTTTCCGACGGAAATTCTTTGCATCGACGGCAGATACTTTCGATGACAGTAAGAAAGAGAGAGGGAGTAATATATTGGAAGGGAAGCAAGGATAGGATATCGAATACACATTTGACAACTGGTATGCCACCGGAAACCATCGACGTGGCAGCAAGTTGCTACTCAAATCAATGACCGGGAAAATGGTGTCATCTAGGTAGCAAACATTGCATCTGGAAAGCATTGGGGTAGCCAGAAGCTGGGCACAAGATACCACTAATCACATTCTGAACTCGGTTTCCCGCTGGAGAACTTTCTCAAGTTCAAGGACTGCCTGAACTAAGTCCGCTTGTTGCGGAGGGCTGTTGTGAAAAACGAAATTTTCTTGTCAAGAAACTCTGTGATCAAGGATTTGAGGTGCACGATGGGATATGGGATACACAAGAGGAATACACTGTAAAGCCCCTGCTTCTGCCATCACCATGAAGTCTAGAAAATGATTGAGAGTACATGAAGCTCGATATTGACTGCTAGACATGACACCATGAAGCAAACTGTCACTTTACAGGAAACCTTGATTGTCAAACAGCCAATAGCGATCGTGTAATTGCTGTGAAGGGAAGAAATGGCAATCAAACAATGAAACGAGGGATAGAGTCTTCTACACAACAATAAACAAACACAACAAACAGTACCTTGTGCAATAAAACAGGGAACTCGAAACAAAACAACAATACCAAGAAACAGAATCACCGAGGGAAAGAAAATGAAACTTACTCATTACGTTCGCGAGCTTCCTCAAGTTCCTTGATGAGTGCCGAACGGGTCGTTCGGAGAAGAATGTGTTGGGTGGCTGGTAGGGGGCCCCTCTATAAATGTTGTCTGTCATTGTTTGAGGCCCCCGACCCAGTGGTCTCGGTCACCCTTCGGACAGCTGCCATTGCGTGGAACCCTCTTGTTTCCACCGGTTTCGGTTGAAGCTATAAATTTCAGTTAGCAAGTGTTTCTCAAGCAATTGATGGAGTCGACATGGGAACGGAATCCTACCTTGATTCGGATGACGCTGGCGGAGGACTCTGGAATGGATTTCCATGCTGCTTCGCCAACGGAGGAGGACTTCGGACAGCCGCCATTGCATGTCGGGCAGATTCCTGTCGAATCAGATAGATATCCATTGACCTTGGCCATTCTGACCCTGTCCTTGCGAAGAAGCCCCTTGTGCCTGAGAAGGGAATATTGGATTGAGAAAGGTTGAGGGAGTGGTTGTCTTCGGACCCGCATGCTGCGGTGGGTATTTGGTTTTCATTCGCTTGCTTGAAAGGGTCCCATCCCATCTGCTGCGTCATCTGGAGATATGGTATCGTTGCAATGCGTTATATTTGGTCATGCTTGAGCGTTGCTTCAACTGCGGGTTCGCTGTTAAAGGCAGTTCGTGTGTGGAAGTTGGGGGAAGTTTGGTCGTTTGTGGTGGTGTTGGAATGCTACTTGCGATTCTCGCGAGACGAATAAGATGACACTTAAATCTCAATCGTGCTCGCAGATCGAGGAAATGCTTTTCTGTGACTCGTTTACTATCAAGATTTATCGCTCTGCCACTGGTTTTGAAAGGCCAAGCAATGCACCTTGATAAGAATGTCAGAGAGGATCAGGGAGGTACACCTTAGCCGAAACCAAATGTGTTAAGCGAGGACGAAACCAACACTTGTTGATGAGAAGACGATGGTAAAGACATGAGGAATGCTTACCATGGCGACTCCGACAGCAAGGTCTAAGATAACATTGGCCACAGTTTTCCACCACCAATGCTGTGGTTGGAGGCATTTTGGCGTCAAACACCGCGACCAGAGGTACCGATCTCGCCTGTAAATCCTTCGTCAGCATATATTCTACAAAAGAGGGATGCGAGTACCAACCTTGGTTTTCTGCGTCATTGCCTGGCATTGTTACCATTGACTGAACCGTCAGGTAAAATAGGGTAGGTGTACGATGGCGAGTTCTGGATGTGAAAATATCCATCTGTGGGAGAGAGGGAGGTGTCAAGAGCCGACACCAACCCTCTCATTCTTCTGGTTTGGTTGATCTGGTCCGAAGAAGAGAGGGTCATCTCGTAATACTCTATATTCAGCTCTCTGGCGTGTGGAATTTATTTGGTTGTTGACCACTGTGGTGATCGAGGCCCGTGATGGGCGTACTGTGACAGACAGTAATTGCTGCGTTTGTGATGCCATTGCCGGTGCCAAGGAGACTCTTCGCTGGACTGATTGTCGCTGGCTACTGTGACTGATTGATAATTCGAACATGGTTCTCGTTGCCGCTACAGGGAATTAGCAAGTCTCCTCCAGGTAAGATTCGGGTAAGAATGTCTGAGATGAGAGGAGGAGGGAGAGGAAAGAAGAATGACTCTTACAGATATTGACATGACCATATTGTCGTTCGGAAATTTCAGAACACAGTCTGGGGGAATCCATTCATGAAAATGGCACGACCTGAGCTGCGGTGAGGATTGTGAGATGGCGATTCCCAGGAAACTGTGCAGCCAGCTCGACCGCTAGTTTTTCGTCGTTCCGGACGCGTAGTTTTATGTCATTGCGGACGGTCGTCAGTATTCACTGAAGGTCAATTCACATTCAATTCAATTCAATTGCCAAGGACGGTGGTGGTGATGATTGCATGCAAAGTATTTAAAAGCCCCTCGCAAACCTCCATATTCCCACCACCCAACACCCTCTCTCGACCTCCACCCGGGACCCTCCATCTTTTTGAACATCTCAGTAGTTAGAGGAACGACGCGTGCAGAATCTTGCTCCACCTTGTCGCTAACAATGAGCTTTGGAGGCTTGACCAAGCCATTGAGACTGGGCTCGGCCAAGCGAAGGACCATGAGCGTGCTACTCAATGGTCACAACGGCAAGTGAAATCTTTGCCGTAGTAGCAGCAAGAATGTCGGGGCTGCATAGTTAGGAGCGTAGGGAGGGGAGGCACCGTTGGTGCTATCGTGCCCCGC